GGTCACGGCACCATTGTAACACTGGATGCCGAAAACCACAGCCTCTGTTGTCAGTCATTCACTCAGTCAGTTTTATTAAGATTTATTAAATGCTGACATCCAAACTGAGATCCTTTAAATTATGTCTAGCTTGAAGCTTTACAAGCTACAGTTTCAAAGTAGCTTCCCCAACACTGGTGTGTCCCCTGCTTGCGTGAGTTTAATTCTTGACCCCTTCTTCTCAGAGAAGAGCGCAACCATTGAGCTGCAACAATGGAGAACATGGAGGGGTATGTAGAAACAAGGTCAACATAAGATACTACTGATACCACAACAATACAAGAGCTAAGAGTGACAGAAAGTGCAAGAAAGAGAAATGTCAAGCTAGTAAAGGGAGACAGACATACAAAGGAGGGTGGATATGGCGGTCGGTGGGTTGACCGAATGATGGGGTTGCTGTCAGTAAGGTCTGCCAGCATATATTCCCCTGTAAGGGTGGTTTCCCTACAGTGGTCCAGGCTGTAGGATTGCCGAATGACTAAAGAAACATTATCAGCACGATGGTATAAAACTGTACATTTCTAGTCTATTACCACCCACTGCCACTTATACCAACGAAGGAAATAAGCGCAGTTAGAATAGCTAAATATGTGGGAGAGCGTTGCTATTGAGTGACTATTGTATTGCAATAGGTAGCACTTTAATATTAACCTTGAATCAAGACTAGTTAGCACATAATTAATAATTGAAATGGTTTAATAACAATATTTTGTTATGGTTACACTTGAATTGGTTACAAAATAGATGAAGGATGGTAAAACATAAACAATTAATTGTACCCAGCATGTATGTAAAATGTTACCTGAGGGACAGAAAAGAGAGATAGAGAGAAAGAGGGAGAGAGGGCAGAGTCCCAAGAAGAGAGTCCCAGCAAAGAAAGAGAGCAAAGAAAAAGAGGTAGCAAAGGAAAGAGCCAGAGCAACAGCCTTTCACCCTTCCTCTTGTATATGCTATAAATTAAGCCCAAGTAAGTTTAAGTGTGTCCTGGTAAGTGTCCATTTGCCTTTGTCCACTGATCAAACTGCAGGCTCAGACCTAATTGGGTCTGTTTGTCTTTGCTTCACTGAGAATGAGTTAATTGGTCTACTGTACATCCTTGGCGGCTCATCGATTGGCCAGTCCAGTTATCCAGTTATAGGCTTTGTGATGGTGTGGGAGGAATCACTTGATCTTTCTAAGCCAAGATTGGCTGATAGACGTACACTTTGATGTGAGAGCTCAAAAAATATTCAGCTTTCATCCCTCCTATCGCCTCACACCAGACCAGGATAAAGCATTGTTACTTAGAAACCAGCCTTTCCCCATCATGCCTCGGGCCTGGCATACCTGTAATTACAACCACACACATGCAGCAGTCTTGACCTTCATTCTGAGCTGTGAATATGGTGCCAAACGTAGGGCATCTGGGGGGTTAGGGAGAGTGCTCAGAACTCTGGGTTGATTTTAAACCCCCTGGCTTTGAACAAACCCACAGGCCCATGCAGACAAAGCTCCAGCTGGACCTCAACAACTAGACTGAGATTAAAGATCTAACTGCTCAAACAGAACACAGTGTTAGAAATATGAGGATGTGATGTATGCAAAATACATCAAATGATTGTATGCTTCATTTATCTTCTCTTTTTTTCTTTCTCCAGGGCAGGACCGCAGTGAAGCAGCTCTGATAAAGCGTTTTAAGGGGGATGGCGTTCGCTACAAGGCCAAGCTCATTGGGATAGATGAGGTCACTGCTGCAAGAGGAGACAAACTCTGTCAGGACTCAATGATGAAACTCAAGGTGTGTGGTATTGTGGCATAGTGGTTAGTGGTATAGTGGTTGCTTACTATATGTTACAATATGTTTTATGTACTGTATGTTATTTATATATATATATATATATATATATATATAATTACATATAATTACATATATTTCTGGCCCTCAAATCTGATTGGCTGAGAGGAGTGCGATATTCTAGTGATATTGGAACTCCAACCATTTCACCATTTGTATCCCTCCGCTTGTGGTATTTCTCACAGCGAGTGTCATGGCGGACACCCAAATCCACTATAATTGTATAAGTAATACTGTTTTTGTGTCACAGAATGTAGTTTTAAGAGTTTTTTTTGGAAAGAATGTACTTGTTTAGACTTCAAATATGCTGTATTAGATGCAGGTAGGCCTAATCACACTCGTAATTGTATAAATAATACTGTTTTTGTATCACAGAATGTAGTTTTAAGAGTTTTTAGGAGAGAATGTACTTTTTTAGACTTCAAATATGCGGTTTGTTAATAAAGATAACGTCTATTTACATTTACATTAAATAATTTAGAAGACGCTTTTATCCAAAGCGACTTACAAATGAGAAGAGCAAATAGAAGCAATTCAGACCAATAGGAGGGCAGCAGTATACAGTATACAAGTGCTGTATCAAGTCTCAGTTAGTCTAGCACTCAGAGATGTGTTTTCTATGTTTTCAGATATGTGAACTCCAGGGCATCAGCGGCCGTTCAGCGCTCATGAACCTGCCGAGAGCAACCTTACCTCATTAAACATTTCATTTGCGTGCTGTTCTGACATGCTCTTTTTCTGAGCGTGTACACCTTAAGCGTGCACACACTAAAAAGCCTGTCAAACAGCGCCTGTTACTGGACTAAGTTATCTTTCGCGTCCGATTGCACTAATACTGTCAAAACACACAAGGTTTACATATAAGCATAGTTGGTTATGTCTAAAGTTAAAGTAAACATTTGAGAGAAAAGCACAAATAGAATGACAGTGACAAGACAAGACAGATAATAAAAAGAATAAAAATAGGATAAATAAATAGGAAATAACAATATACATTAAATGAAAAAACTGTTCTTATGCCTGGCCGTTCTGGTGCTCAGTGCTCTGTAGCGCCGACCAGACAGCAACAGTTCAAAGAGGAAGTGGGCTGGGAGTGAGGGGTCCAGAATGATTTTGCCTGCTCTTTTACTCACTCTGGATGAGTTATTAATCTAATATAAATATACTGTATATCTTACTGTCTTAATTGTTTAGAATTTTAGAAGGCATTAGCTTTTTGCCGATCCACGGGTTCACATTTACAGCTCTATGTGTTTGCTGCTTAAAATCATGGGTGGATTTTCACATTGGTCTGAACAAAAACAGCAGACGGGCTTATTGAAAATGAAAATTCATTCTCTGCCAGTAGGAGGAGCTTTTGGAATGGCAGAAATATAGCGGTTTCCCCGGTAAGAAAAAAGAGGTACTGCGCTCATAAATGCTAAATGAAAATGCCATTGAAACTTTTTAAGACCTCTTGAAATTTTAATGAAAACATTTCAAATTACCATTTCAGGTATTTAATATTTTTTATGGCTTTAAATGTCATTGTTATTTAAAAGAATATGTGATATCTGTGATTGGCTACATTGCTCAACGCTGCAAGAACACAATGTAAATAGTAACTTTTGATGCTGTCAGGAGTGCAAACGCAAATACACACTGGATATTTTGCCAGATCTTCAATGGGCTAGTTACGTATCGCTGCCATCTTGGATTTCCGGTCTAGCGAGTTTGGGCATAGACACTTCCGGTTTTGCTAAAGACCGCGAGGGTTTAGGGTGCGATTTGGGACAGGGCTTATATATGTTTACAGGATTTATAATATCACTTAAAATGCAACTAAGATCTACATTATTATTATTATTATTACTATACTATAAATGTTAATTGAGCCAGTGGCATTTGAAATTTTGTATGTTTGTGTCAGGCAGAGTTGAATGAATGAAATACACTAATCTGTACTGTTCACGAAATGAAAGTTGACTTGAACTCATGGTGTGTACATATAGCTACACAATGTATTTTTCCCTTACCAATTATGTAAATGTACAAATTACTTATTTCTTGAAAATTATTGTATTGCATTTACTTTTTTTAACTGAAATACATTTGCCTTGTGAGACATCAATTGATCTTCATAAATATCCGTTTCTCAGTTCTGCACATGCATCAGTTTGTTCCATCAACATTTTCACAACATATTTTAATATTTTACATTTACACATAGTGATCTTAGAATCAAACGTATTTTTAGATGAAAACACAGGCTGTAAAAAGATAAAATTAGTACATAGTTATGACTAATTTAAAGATTTGTTTTATTTGTTAATTAATGCAAACAATTTTTAAAAATATACTGTATGCGCTGCTTATAGACACCAGACAGATAATGATTTATGCAACAAATGCTCATTTTCACGAAACAGATAAATATTAGTGCTGTCAAACGATTAATCGCATCCAAAATAAAAGGTTGTTTTTTACATAATATATGTATGTGTACTGTGTATATTTATTATATATAGCAGGACCTGTATTTTTATTAATATTTATTAGTGCTGTCAAATGATTAATCGCATCCAAAAAAAGTTTTTGTTTGCATAATATATGTGTGTGTACTGTGTATATTTATTATGTATATATAAATACACACACATACAGTATATATTTTGAAAATATTTACATGTATATACATTTATATATTTATATTCTTATATTTTATATTATATATAAATATATTTAATATATAAACATAACATATTTTCTTAAATATATACATGCATGCATGTGTAGTTTTATGGTTTAAATACCAGTAGTATTTATAATTACCTTTATTTGAAAACAAAATGATAAATGTTTTTGGCAATCCTCATTTAATTAGCTACGTAAAGGTGTAATTTCAGTCAGTTGAATGAATAAGCCACATCCATTAGACTGGTTAATGAGCCATGTGAACACCAGGGGTCACACTACCATGTGTATGTGGGTTGCTTTATTTGTGCATGCATGTGCGCCCCTGATACACACAGGTAGACATTGATACACATTGTCTTGATACCTCCGAAAATCAGTGTCTTATTGTATGTTCGCCATAAATTGCACCCTTTTCACCAGAGTTTAGATTGGTTTCGTAGTGTGTTTGAGAGAGTGGGTGATGTTGCCATCTGATTTGCATGTTGGTCTGATTAGAATGTCCAGACTGTTATTGATCTGAGCTGTTTACCTCTCACTCATCCAGACACATAATCTATACTCATATTCCCACAGTCCTCCACTCCTTAGCAAACAAATGAGTCCCATAGTGTCATTTTTAATCTCTTATTCCTCGCTCTCACTTTTTGTCTCTCTGTTCTGTCGGGAAGAAGAGTTTAAACAACAGTTTGACTTGAGTCTTTTCATATAATCCCCATCCTCCCTTGATAATCAGCCCACGTAGCGCTCTAAAAACTTCATTAAGCATCTGTCCAGCTTCTCCTACAGACGAAGCTCTGCCCAGGCACTCTGGATTGCACATTTACATCTTATATTTCACATCTGTAACTCCAGCAACACTTATACACACACTGTCTGAGTTTGAAATGTCAGCGCTTGTGCTCTTTTCGCCATGATCTTCCAGCTGCTGGCATTAGAACGACTCATTCATCATCTCGCCAGCACATATTGATAGGCATAATGGTGTGCTAACATACATCATGTGACTGATGGATGCTGCTCCCTGCACACTTGGAAGGAAGATCAAGAAACAGCATCATCTGATTGGCAAGAACGTATTATGGTCCTGGAAGACTTGAGGGCTCCAGCTGTTTGGAGAAACAGCCAAACACACACCTTTGAATGGCTTGGACATATGAAGCAAGCTTGATTTTAGAACAAGTTTCGGCTTTTGGTTTATTGCAACTTTATATTTTGCAAATCTGACTTGACAAGTGGTTTACGAAAATATACAAAAACAAATGAGAAAATTTTTAAATGGATTTAGGTCTGCAGTGTGATATCTACTCATCACAGTGACAGATTCTGGCAAAGGCGGCGCACAACCATCTGGGGTGGCACTTTTTTCTCCATACCGCTCTCAGCTTCTCTATCGCTCATTTGCAGGAGTTTTACCTACCTCTACCTCTCTTGTTGAAAATTAATTGTGTCCGGTGTGAATTGTGTGTGGGTGAACAGTACAGATTAAGCATTTCTGTGAATTACAAAATAAAATGCATTGCTATTTGGTTTATTAAAAGTGCAAAATGTACTCATTCAAACGTGTGAATATTTTAATGTATCTGTAGTTTAATAATGATATTTTGTTTTTGTATTTTATTCAATTGCTGTTGACAAAATATTACATTTGCAGTGCCTTGTCCCGGGTCACTATGAGCCTTTCAGAGTGCTGCCTCTGGTACATTGTAAGAAATTATCATAATTTTATTGGTAAAAGTCTATAAAAATGCTACTGTAAAAACCTGTTAATTAGTTAATGATTAGGTCCCTTGCTATATACAGTGTCTTTCTCTCACCCAGACAAATAGGCTGCATTTACACCAGAGTATGTGAGCGGAATGGCGCTAATGTGCACAACACACAAGCTTGCACATAGAAACATTCAGGAGTGCAGAGAATTATTGTCAACGCTGTCCTGTGATTTATCAGCTTAAAATTTTTATTTCAAAACATACTGAAATACTTTAGCCACAAATTTCATCATGGAGTGAAGGCGGAGTGGCGTTTCTGATCAGGTGAGCGAGGAGCGGGAAATGCTGAACCCGAGCAGAGTGATTATGAAATGCTTGGAGTGCGGAGGAGAAACTGTTGCTGCTCCACTCCGCTTACATACTCTGATTTACACACTGTCAAACAATTCAGGTTTTTTCCTCTGATATCTTGTATAATTTATATATAATATAATATATAATAATATACATAAATATAATTTTATTATGTTCATTATGGAGGTGTATTAGGTGAGGAGGGGATATGGAGACACCTACAGGCAACTACTGATGTAAAATGAGTGAAGTCGGACATTTTTTCTTTAGTTTCATCCAAACTGTTGAGATGAATGGTGGTTTTGTGACCGGATGAACAGCATTTTGTATGTTTGGTGTTTTCTCATGTATTCTCAGTAAACACACTGCTCAGTCTATCATCTGCATGTGGTCCTTTGGGGAAGAGTCGTTTCAAAGAATCAAGCGAGTTCCACATATATTTTTGGGTGGGGATGGTTTGATATGTCTACTTTTGAATGACCGTCGGTAGAGTAAGATCAGCAGAATGGTGTAATTACAGCTTCTACCTGTATAGTGTCAGTTGTCCCTAGTTACTCCAAACCAGCACATATCAGAACCTACGAAATTGTTGAAAACAGAGAGAAAATGAATCAGTTTCTTTACATAACAGCTAGGCTAATTCTCCCTAAGGATTGCTGCAAGTAGCGAAAGCTGCCGTTCCGTTCTGCTCTGTTTCTGTTTTATCTTCATTTCTTTTTTTCTCATGTTTCTGTTTTCATCTTCTTGTCTGCAGGGAATCACAGCCTCTGCGCGGTCTAAAGGAGAACACAAACAGAAAGTTTTTCTCACTGTGTCCTTTGGAGGGATCAAGATCTTCGATGAGAAGTCGGGGGTGAGTCAGGGGAGTGCTTGAGAGTCGGGGGTGGGCGGGAGGAATTGTGTCCTGTCACTACCCATGATCCTTTGAAGCAAGTGTCTGAGCCACAAATACAAATCCTCAGATGCCTAACCTGGTTTCTATTTGTTTTATCTACGAAAAGGACATGTTGTGTTTTTCATTACTTTGGAGATATGTTGTAGCTAATATCTAGTTGACATTTTTTACTTGTCCTTCCATCAATGTATTGATGAACGGCACGTGCAATAAAGCAGTCGGCATTAGTGAAAACCTCAATGGGAGAGCTAATTGTAACAACAAACACATGGTGAGCTGAGATGTCCAATTCAAAGATGATTCTTAAGAAATTGTTATTTTTAATGAGTCAGTAAAAAGGATACATTATACAGGACAGTTTCAAATTAGCTTGTGAGTTAGCGATTTGAATCAGACTAAAGGCCCTTTCACACTAAGAACATTAACTATGAGATATAAACTATAATGATAACTATGTTAGCATTCATACCAATGTTCTGTTTATTATGAACACATGCTGACGTTATGTCGTACTGCTGCTTTAAATGCTCAAGCTCATTAAAAGCAGGTGGATTCGGATTGGATGTCAATGTTTTTATTGTTTATAAGATGTAAAAATAGTTTTGAAAGTGATTCCAACAATATTGTCTGTGTCGTTATTGTGGTATGGACTTTCCCAATTGTCATATTAGAATGATTATTAAAACTTTATAGTTATCGCTATAAGTCAGTGAATTGAAATTGAAGTTCACAGCTAACTTCCTTGCTAAACTGTGGGTCAGTTGTTGGTTACGTTTGAACCAAAACTCTCAGTGAAATACTTTAGTTTATGAAACTTTTATTAGTCTGTTTACTGACTGATTGTTCATATCACAATGTGTAATTAAAAATACATATTCACAATAATAAATGGTATACTCAAATGTTTTACAAAAATATTATTGGTAGGTTATTGTTTAGGGTAAGAGGAACAATTTTAAGGTTGAATCAGTTTTAAGGGAAGGTTTGTTTGGGAGTAAACTGGGAGTAATGCTGAAATATATATTTTAAATATTTATATGACAAAAATACATGTAGGATTACTAGAGTGACAGCATCAGTCTGAAATATAGTAATTTATGCTGCAATAAACCAGTGTTGAAAAGTGTCTTTCATAATTGCACCACAGCATCTGCGTGTGAGCAGATGAAATGTGTACAGGCCTTAACATTTCTGTTTTCACAAAAATAAGTACCAATTATTTCACAGACATAACTCAGAAATCAAAGTGGAATTTACAAGTCTGCTTGTGGACAGTTAGTTTATAGGCTAGGGCTGATGGCTCTTCAAGAGGCCCTTATCTTCTAGGCCTCAAAAGTTTGGGTCGATAGCAAAAGATGGTTTCTGTGTGTTAGTGTGCGGTTGCTGTAAGCAGGCTCGAGTCTGCTCTGTGTTAGGCGGGGGTGAGGCCATCCTTTGGGAGAGGTAAGCCTGTGTTAATGATGCGTTTTAAAGAGAGGAGCGCTCTCCGGGGAAATCAGAGAAGACTAATTGAACAGACTTCTTAGAATAGAATGGCCGTAGCTTTACAAGACCCATCTGCAGGGCTTTACGCCATCTTGATGGAGAGTAAATGGCAATAACAGCTAATGAATCGCACCTGAGCTAGTTATAAATGGAGAGAATAATGCTTATTTATGAAGTATCAGACCGGATCACGTACACCAAAGTGCTGTTCCACAGAAGGAGAGTTTGAAAGAGGAATTCACTTTGTAACAGTTATTGATTTGCCTCCCCTTACGAAAAAGAAGTTTATTCAAGTGTGCTATTAGTATACTTCTTTTAAACTAAAAATAGGAAAGTATA